TATTTTCAGGAAATTGTGGTGTTTCCATGGCTGTTGTCGAGCATTGTATATCACTAAAGATGATTCTACTTGATCATAGAGTACATTTTTGGTATATCTCTCGCTCCAGAAAATTTCAGGATCCTAACCGAACGATTACGTAAGATACGCGGGTGTTTCCATTAGAAGTGAGACACACTGTATATATAAATAGCTCTTTCCCACGTGAGCGAAAATATTGAAAAAACGCTCGCTTCGCTGCCATACACGAACCTGTTATTTCATGATGAAAAATACTAATTACTGACAGTTAACTATCGATAGTAATTCCGTTTGAAATCAACGAGATCCAATCGCTTATAGCATCAGGAGTCCGTAGGACGAGAATTTTTTGTTATCTTTTGGAGCGCACGAAAGCGAATACCTAAAATGTTCGAAGAACATCGTGCGTGCCCATAGGGAGGATAGGGAAATTGTTTTTTTGATCTTGGAGGTTATAATTTCTTAGGAATACTTCCATTGGCAAAGAACTCCAAAGTTTTGCCATTCAATATTGACGAACGAGTTCTGGTGTTGTTCAATACAGAGAAAAAAATGACTAACCCATATAAGTGAATATTCAATAGTGGCAAGTAAAAACTTGTATATTATTTGGGACAGGAAAACAAGTTGATAACCACAAAAATATTTGGGTTCTTGAAAATGTACACCTACCACTATTAACCTGTTCCATTGAATTTCAGATTGATAACCGTTAGTGAATCCAGCACTTGTCATTAGTGATTTATTCACTTATCATTAGTTACTTATTCACTAGTCATTAGTGACTTATTCATTTGCGATTAGTGACTTATTCATATTCATGAATATTTTCTTGTCACAATCGACATGTTTTATTGTTGATAACTGAAGGATGTGCTGACTGGGCTTGTCGAGTTCGTCTGACTGGTATTGCTAGTGATATGGAATGATTTCTGACAGAATTTTCGATAAAATATTGTGAGTACGAGATGTGTGAATTGAGATAATTCCACAACCTAATGAAACTTTTATCTCCATGTCATATCGGCTGACAAGATGTTATTGTTCTATTCAGATTCGTGGCTACCGTGACAACGTGGTCTTACAGGCTCGAAAGGACAAAGCAGCGTACTATCGAGGCACATCATTCTGATTGGTTCTTATATTGCAGGATGGCATTTTCTTGGGTAGGTTGCGTTCGGCCCAATTTTTGATTCACCCAATTTTCGAAACTACCCGAACGATGAAAGGTAAATATTAATTTAACTTATTATACCCTTGATTGTGATAGGAAGAAATAGTATTTATATTTTCTGATTCGACAATGAAGTGTTTCACCTGAAAGTATATATAATTAAAGAAGTGTTCCTCTAGCTCATTAAAGGGGTCTGAAGCACAGCTCTGAGCATACCAAACGGTTGATCAGGCTTTAATCTCTGGGCAGACCAGTATTTTTCCACACATCTGTCCACTTTCTTTTTTGTTAAGAGCTGCGTCTGTAGAAAAAATGTTGTGTGTATTTCAAGCTTAAAATGTCATTGCCGCCCTCCAAAGATTACCGCATGCTCTGCTTTCACCAACGAATTGAAATGTATTAACATCATGGAGTCATGCTACACTACACTATGTGGTACTCAAACTGGTGTGAAAATGCAGCAAGCAACTCAGAATTTATTGGATTACCGACAATTGGACGTGGTCAATTGGACGCACGAAAATTGGACGCGGATAATTGGACGCGGCGACAATTGGACGCGGCGACAATTGGACGCGACGACAATTGGACGCGGCGACAATTGGACGCGACGAAAATTGGACGCGGCGACAATTGAGCGCATGCGAAAATAAAAATAATTTTATAATTCCATACTACCTAACCTAACCTAACTAACCTAAAATATTGTACTATATTCGTATCGTAAATTCATATTACGATATGAGATAGGAAAATAATTGTCAAACGAGGCCATAGGTAAGTATTAGTTATAATTATGGATATAAGCCCATCAGTATTTCATATTTTATACAATGAATTTCATTGGAATTATAAAATTATTTTTATTTACGCATGCGTCCAATTGTCGCCGCGTCCAAATGTCGCCGCGTCCAATTGTCGCCGCGTCCAATTGTCGCCGCGTCCAATTGACTGCGACCAATAGTCGTGCGTCCAATTTTCCACGTCCAATTGACGCGACACCGAATTTATTGATCATCACAAAGAATCAACATAAGTGTTACTGGACAAGGTACCAGAAACTCATGGAGAATCCACTGAGAAAAATATTCGGAGTTTTAATGAACCATGAGGAAAAACAAGTAAGGAATGTCTTTCTTAAAATAGGAATCTGGCGCGAAATGTTACAGGACGTATCTATGTATGTACTGATATGTCTACACCAAAACAAAACACGGCAGTTGGCACTGGGCACTGGACCTCAACTGGAAACTTAACAATTTATGGACATTCCTACGCATTCAGTAAATAGGATGTAGGTGCAAATGGGGAAGTTACCAATATTGAGGTTTTTATCTCATTGTGAAGTTTGTAAAAAATTAATATATACAAATTTTTAATTTTTTTCGTAAGATCAAATTCTACTTACAGAAAAAAATAAATAAAACGGGAACTTGGCTCCTCCGCCATTCCTATGACTTTCTGAAAATCCACATTCACACAGAGTTAAAATACGATTCTCTGTGCCAGTACGACGATGCCGAAATCAGATAAATTATGAGACTTGCGATAGATAGATCTATACTTTTTCATTACCGTTATATTTTGTCAGTCAATCTTTTGCTAATGAATTCGTTCCTCAATAGAACGGATCTATTTTCTAGATTATATCTTGCAACCACACCACTCAAAATACTGATAGGCACAACAAGAGGAAGGAGCCATGGATGTCGGCTTCATTCTATTCTGACCAATGACAGTAAATTATCATTGATTCAATGATATTTTCGTTCAGAATCGAGCTCTATTCGAGGTATTTCAATGCATAAATAACAAAACCATAACTTGTCAGAATGAAGGCAACTACCTTCTGCATTCCTGCTCTGAGTGCATTTGTGGTTATGTATGTTTTTGTTTACCAGTTTTACTTCTTCTATTATTTTCAATCGTTTTTCATTCGTTAGCTATTCGTTAGCTATTCGCTAGCTATATTCTTCACCATCAGATATTTTCACACTAGATTCAGAATGTACGTCACAGTTTGCCGCCCCGAAAATAAGAAATATTGCTTCAATTTGAAAATGAAAAGGACTTTATCGATCGCCATTCTATACAGCGTGGACATGAAACTGGAGAGTTCCGAACTTATTTTATGAAAATTCATCTGAAGGAAACTTCCCCATTTACAATTAACCTAGTGTTTAGCCAGTGAATCATAAGGCTAAATAGGCACGTGCCTAGAGGCGCGAGATTACAAAAGGGCGCGTCGTCGTCGAAAATGTGCGTTGGAGGAACGGGAAACGTTGGTACGGCCCGTGAAATTCCCGATATTCACAATAACTACCCCTCTCACTTTCTTCACCCTGAACACGTATATTAGTAGTTATGATTTATAATATCTTATGACCACCAGAGGGGCGCCGATGAGATGCTTGCCTAGGGCGCTGTCGACATTTAATCCGCCCCTGTGTGTAGCAATTCCTATTCAAGTAATTTGGGCACACCACACTTCTCCTTGCGATAGATGGTGATATAACAATTATTATTGCAATAAGATGCCATTTGAATTAGAATTCACACTTGATATACAGTGTGTCCACCTTAAGGACTTACCACCCCTGTAAAATCGTTATTATCCGACCAATTTCAAAAAACCTTTTTTTGTTGGATAGGTATTTGAACTGCCCATCCAACGAGAGAATGATCTAATTCTTGGACTGTTATCGTGGCCAACTGCGACAAATTTCAATGACCCATATTCCAGAAAGTACTATTAGGGATTTTTTTCCACGAAATTTGATGATGGATTATGATTCAGTACCACTTGAAATATACCTGTACCGATTTTCATCATCATAAAAAATATTGCCTACTTTTTCTTTTCAATTGATTTCTCATACACATCGGATTTGTGAATGATTAAAATCGGTACAGATATGTTCAAAGTGATCATCAATAATAATGTGTCATCAATTCTTCTCAAAAATACCAAAATACTACATTTTCTGATCACCTATTAAAAAAAAACAATTCGTTTTTTCGGACACCCTGTGTTTTATGATGATAAAAATCAGTAAAGGTGTTCTTCAAGTGATCGTGATTCAGAATCCATAATTATCTTTTGTAAAAAAATCCCTAATAGTACTTTCTTAAATATGGGTCAATAAAGTTGGTCGCAGTTGGCCAGTTCATGAGTAAAATCACTCTCTTGTTGGATGGACATTTCAAATACCTATCCAACAAAAAAAAGTTTTTTGAAATCGGTCAGATAATAACAATTTTACAGGGGTGGTAAGTCCTTAAGGTGGACACACTATATATCGAAATGACAAAACAAGATAGGCACCTGTCCATTTAGCTAAAAGCGAATGGGCAGACAAATATATACCTAACTAATTATTTTTATGATATGTGCTCATTTTCTTATTTATATTATCACCTGAATTTGCGAGTTTTTGACCATAGGCAACAGGAGTTCGCCAATTTATATCACCGAAATGGATTTATTGAAATTGGACTTGAGAATCGAGTATTAATACCTATCTCTGCAATTCAAAAAGCTGCATGCGGTAATAGTATATTTTGTGATGTTTTTCTAGCATATTCCCAAATGAAAGTGTATCTTGGGAATAAATAATCATTTTTGCTCCCTTTTGACTACTTTGAATACGCCAATATGATTCAAACTGGTATTTTATTTTCAAGGATAAAAAAGATCCAGATTTGGCTTACCAATACCATACATTACATTTGGTGATAGGCGGAGATTTCAGTAGATGTATAAATGAAAATTAAATCATGATGATTCAAATGCAGTAAGACAGACCTTGACATAATCTAGCACTTTGCATTCTAATGGCATTACCTGGGCTACCAAGACCTGTAAAAAATAATATACATTCATTAAAATGTTCACTTCCAGAGGACAGAGTATATTGTTTCATATGGAGGTAGGTATATTACAGGAAACTACTCTACCTCCAATAAAACATGCTGTTTTTTCTTCAAACGTTCAAAATATGTTTCCAAATGAAAACGTATGGGGAATTAATTTTCTTTTCCTTGTCTCCTGTCACTTGTCAGCGGAGGTGAAAAGGAAAGATTACCGAGTAATGCTGGCAGATTTAATGGGGATGGCAAACTTTAACATCGCGAATTAAAGCTCTAAATGTCATCATTTTCATACAAAGGCGTAGAACTAACAGGTATGCGATATTTTCTATCTCAACTCGAAATGAGTATGAGAAGAAAGTATGATTCAGGTATTATTTTTCATGAAAAGCAATTTGATGAAGACATGGCATTATTCTAAAAAATGCAACGAATAAACTCCAGACAACGTTCAAAACAACATTACACACCATATTTTTTAGGCATTTGCGTATGGAAAATACTACATAGAAACACAACTATAGGCAGATGAGTGGTATATTCTTCAATGGGCTTCAATTGATGTGTACTTTCTCTACGACTATTACTGATGAAGTTCCAATTCAAAGTCTAAATAACTTTCACAGAAACAATGCTACTTTGTTAAACCCTAGAGGCGATGTCGTTATAAAACGTTTTCATTTTTTATAAAATGCATTTTTCGAACGATGTCAACTATTTTCTGGTATCATCAGATACGCGACAAAAAAAATCTATTTCCACTTTTTCGACATTTATGACTATACTTAGACACCTCAACTCATATACCCCTATGGGTAATGGAATCAATGTAATAGGTATACTTAAAACGTGAATAGTCGTAGAGAAACAATTATCAAACCAATCTAGCGGCTTTTAATCCTTTTTTTCAAGTGATGTGTACAAATTTCAGGACTAAGATACTTGATAAATAGATTATAGCAACTCTATTTATCATAAAAAAGATCAAGTTTCAGTAGAGCATATATATGATATAATCTCTTGTAAGTGTTATTGACATCAGTGATAATCAAATCTGTTCAGCTCGTCATCTCAGTATTCTCAGTTGTGAAATGGGGACAACAGAAACAGTTTTCGACTTTTCAGACAATTTTAGCGAGTTGATATCCACATTATTGATTAAAAAAACAGAAAACGTGTGTAATGATTACTAGAAGACAGGGTATACGTAACAGTTTTGAAAAATATAAGTTTTAAATAGGAATTGATTGTGGAATATTCTGCGATTAATTTTTTTTTTGTTTTTTTGAACAATAAGAAGAATCATTGTTAAATTATTCAACAGAAAACAGTTACTTTCCTGGCTAATAGGTCAAATATTTGATGAAATAATTCAATATTTCACAGGTATAAAAATCAATTTTCTGTGGTACTAGCCAGGAAAGTAGTTGTTTACTGTTAGATATTTTTACTAAGAATATTTCTTCTTATTGTTAAAAAAAAATTGTTGAAGAAACTGAACATTGAAATTAATGTTCTCTGAAATTGAACATACCAAAGTAGAACACCTGGAAATGAAGTTGAAAATTATAGTATATAATATACGTTTTAGAGTCATAACATATATAACTGCGATGCTTTTATACTGTTTATAATCACGCGCTGAAATAATTGAACGAATGCCAAAATGTTCACTTTTTCAGACTGTTCGTTTTATTTCTAGAAAGAAAAAATTAAAGCCGCTAAATCGTCGGTTTATTCATCCCATTCCAATACCTATCTCCTCTCCCTATCATCCCTAGGTACGCACGATGTTCTTCGAACATTATAGGAATTTCCTTTCGTGCGCTCCAAGAGATGAAAAAACATCAAATCATAACATACAAAATGGATGTGTCATTCGTTAATGGAAATATAGGTAAGTACGCAATAATTGTATGGAATGAATAGTTGCCACAAACTTTGGAATCATCGAAATTTAGACATCAGTTTCAAGATATTTTTTTTGTTATCAGACATCAACAGATGATTTCGATTTTTATTTCTGTGTCTTGATTTGATCGTTTGTTCATATAGAAAAATGTCAGACAATTTCAAAACTTTCAATGGGATTGAGCGAAAGAATCTTTTGGTCATAACTTTCCAACAGCTTCATCGATTCGTCTGAAATTTTCATGGAATATTTTGCTACTACCCTCTAATCGACTGATTTATTCAGAGTCGGGAAAATCCGTTCTTGTAAAATTTTACTAGTTTAGTTTAAATCAAAAAGTTCATCCTGTATTGAGAACTGTGACAGGTAATTTTCGAGGGTCACAAACAAACATCAAACATGAAATATTCATAATTCTCCTCACACTTTCACTGCATTATTCAAAAAACAATAAATTCCATGAAAAAAAAAAACGAAAGATATTGGCGAACAATTCGTTTATTTGGAAATCATTACTTCGTGACTTACAGTCTCAATGCTTAAGCTCAATGGAAATCAACATGTTATTGTATTTTCAGGCCTGGATTTAGTTATTTTATGTTTTTGTGGAGGACAATAATCACCCTATAGGTATCTGTATCCGTTATTTTGGTTACTTATTTTCCATATACAAAATTATTATCCTCCTTTGTTATAGTATATATAGCTTTCGAAAAATTGTGAATTAACCCCCATTTTCCAAATCCAGACCTGGAAAAAAGAACCTGTTGATTTTCATCGAGCTGAAACATTGAAAATGCGAAGTATCTCTTTTCAAATAAATAAATTTGTTTGCCAAACTTCCGTTGTTGTTAGAGTGTGAGGAACATTTTGAATATTTTATTTTTGATGCTTGTTTGTGACCTTTGAAAATTCCCTCTGTCACAGTTTACAAAAACCATATAATTACAGGAGGAACTTTTTGATATGAAGCTCGATATGAAGTAAACTATAGATTTTTCAAGAACGGTCCTGAATTTTTCCGATTCTGAATAAGTCAGTCGATTAGAGAGTAGTAGCGAAATATTCCATGAAATAGTCAGACGAATCGAAGAAGATTTTGGAAAGTTATGACCAAACGATATTTTTCCCAAATCTCATAATTCACCCTATATGTTAGTGCAGAAGAGAGGAGGACACTTTCTGACGGTCATTTGGTATTTCCCTCAGAGGCCTCTATTTGTGGTAGGAGTGAGTACAGTTCCTCATGACTCACCCTATATACATATTTAGACAATCGCCATATCTGGTGTTGCTGTTTCAAAATATTATATTGATTATTTTCTTCGCATGATTTTGAACCAATCAGATCGTTCAATTGAGCTAAGCTACCTTGTATAATTTTGAATATATACGTGGATATACATAGAGTATAGTTCCACCTATCAGAAATTTAGAATTTTTTCCATTTCCATAATAACCAATTCATACTGTTAATACAATAACAAAGCGCGTTGTAAAATTTTGATGTTTGTTCGAACGTCAAAATCTTCAAACTTCCTGCATAATTACAAATCGTGTCAGTTCATCTGTTAAACTGGCACTATTTGTAATTATGCAACAAGTTATCGAAGTATAACCCGAATTACTCATAGTATTACTACTGACAAACACAAAAGTGTATCTGAACTTTCTTATTCAAATAGCGACATCCACATAAGTATATTATTCCATAATTATTTGCGTGGGGCTCACCAATAATACGAATTCAATATTTCTAGGTTTTGAGATGATTTTGTATATGACTACGAACAATTTTATAAGCACATATACCGTTAGTTTGATTGCGAATAACCCCCCCCCCCCTCGAGGAATATAATATTTGCACATACTTACAGAATATCAATTCGAAGCAAATTCGTTAGTTTTTTGATGGTGTTAAAATATTTTCCGTCGACCTCGTATTAACAAGTAAGTTAAATGTTTATGAAATCGTTCATTAATGACCCCTATTAATGATCAATTTGTCTATTAATGCACGATGGTTTCATAGGCAACCAAACATACACCGCGTGCATTCATAATATGGATTTCATTGAAGATTTTCTGTTAACGGGTTCGCCTTTCGAAGTTTCTGAAACGATTTAAATCACTGTTTTCTAACACAAGGAATTTATTTTCTATGTTGATGTCAGTAACAAGGCTACTGGGTGATTCTTAGTAGTTTCCGGATGATTGATGAATTCGCGAACCAAGTTTTCTTCATTGCAGGAGAAATGAGAAATATAGTCGACGGAAAAATTTTGTAACCAACTCGTATATTAAAAGGCGATCAATGATCTCGATCATTAATCGCCCTCATTAATACACTAGTTGGTTAAATAACTATTAATCAACTCGATGACCTGACCTCCGCAGCACTAGATTTTTGCCAATGGCGTTACTTATGCCAGAAAGTGGATGAAAGAATGAATATTGACAATGCAAGAAAACTTCCGACAATGGTGGATTTTTTCCTGGCTAATGCCACGCAGAACATTGAATTACATCCTCCCGAAATATATTCATCGACTTGTATGAACGAATAATGATATAAGTGATTCTTTCCTGAATGACTATTGATTTCGATTTAGCCAGGCCACGCTGGACACCTACAGACCGGTTTCGAGCTCTTTAACTCTCATCAGTGCAGGGCAGTCTCCAGCCAGCAGTACTAAGACCGCCGACTAAGCGTAGCCTAGCCGAACAAAAATTAAGTCGGCATTATATTCCCCCAGATGCGTCTTTCATAGACAATATGAAAGCAACGCCACCTGTTATGGTTGAATTTGTATTGATGAGCCAAGAAGGTTCAGGTACACTTCGATATCACGATATCACCCAATATCATGAGTATAATAAATATCAAGCATAACCGAATCAACTTATTGCTGTTCTACCCCCGTATATTTTAGCTGGGACACACGCGCGGTATCTGTAATTGGAAATTAGGAGTGTGGCAATTACTCTGACCATAATATGGAAAGGATAGTACTTTGTGTAACGAGCTCGGAATGATAGTCATTTCACACGAGTATGAAGTTTGAAAATCATACCAG